AAAAAATATATATATTTTCTTGCCGTCTTTTCGCGCAGGCCTTCACGTTTGTGGAGCTGTTCTACGGTGTTTGGACCAACAGCCTGGGGCTCATCTCTGACGGCTTCCACATGCTGTTCGACTGCTCCGCTCTGGTGCTCGGCCTGTTCGCTGCCCTCATGACCCGCTGGAAGGCCACCAGGATCTTCTCCTATGGGTAAAGTCCTACTGTGCAGCTCCGTTTCATCTTCAGCTAGATTTTTTTTTGTGTTTTTTGTGTAAAGTCTGCTTTGCTGTGGGCGTCCTGTAGGTACGGCCGAGTGGAGATCCTGTCCGGATTCATCAACGGCCTGTTCCTCATGGTCATCGCCTTCTTCGTGTTTGTGGAGTCGGTCACCCGCGTGTTGGACCCTCCCAACATAAACACGGACATGTTGACTGTAAGTCGATCCACAGGTTGCCTTGTTCTCCTTCAGGACACAGCCGCTGCTCTCAGAAGGATATCAGCTTTAATCTTAGACTATAAAAAAACGGAGATCTTAAGCCCAAATTAAACACTGCTTAGAGTGGAAACAGTTGATCTGTGTTTTTATCTGGTTCTGGAAGAGCTTTATCAGCTGTCTAAACTAAACACAGCCAGCGACGTTTTAAACGTCTCCAGATGTTTGACAGAATGCCTGTAGTAACCTCAGAGGATTAGTATTATTAGGGAAGAGGATCTAAGGTAGAGAAGGAAGAGCAATAAGGATGGGATGGCTCAAAGAACAGAACCTTATCCAGTCCAACTGCCCTGCTGTTTTATGGCAGCTAATGAACGACTCTGTTCCAGCTGGAAATCTGCTTTCACAGACAAACTTTAACTGATACGAGAAAATATTTTTCTTTGAGGACGGTAAGAAATAAACTGTGAAAAGGAAGGTCCTTCACACGCTGCATAACATTTAAATCAAAATACGTCATTTTTTCTTAAAATAAGTGCATTTTTTCTTGAATTGAGGAGGTAAGTAAGACTCTTTGCAAATGGGACAAGACAATTTACTTTTAAAATGAGAAAAAGCAATTTCATTGTCTTATTACAAGTGCATATTATCTAATTATCTTATTTTAAGAG